CTTTTTATTTTCTTTCCTAACTGATTTTCTACTTTAGTTTTGTAGTTTATGAAAGTTTGATCAACCTCATCTTTTGATCTAAGTACAACTGCTTTTGCATATGTAGAGAAGTCATCTGTAAATGTTATATAGTATATTTTTCCTCCTTTAGCTTCATGACATTTAAGGTCTTCTAGGTCACTGTGTATAAGTTGTAACAATTGAGTTTCTCTTTGTACATTTTTATGAGGTTTCTTAGTAAATTTTGCTTCTACACATACTTGGCATTTTTCATTTGTAAAATTAATAGGAACATTTAAAACTCCTAATTTACATAAATGTTTTAAATAAGGAACACTACACTGTCATAGTCTAGCATGCCAAATATCAAAAGATTTAACAATATAAGCAGCAGAAGAAGTAGTTTTATTCATAATAATATCAAAAACATTCAGTACAAATAATCCTCCTGCATTGTATCCTTTTTCCATAAATACATTATTTTTAGTCAACACGGCATTGTCTGCTTCAAATGTGAGCACCTTTGAAGTTAGTTTCAGGCATGTGCAACACATCATTCATCATTAGAATTTTTCCTGAAGTTAGTTTCAGGAGCACCTTTCCTTTGCCGATGACCTTCGAAGTTTGTGAATTTCCCATGAAGACTTGCTCTCCTTCAGTCTGAGTTGTATACTCATAGGAGGAATTACGGTCCCCACAGATGTGCTTGGTATCACCAGTGTTGAGTACCCACTCCTTCGGCTTATCAACTAAGTTTACCTCAGTTACCATGGCTGCGATAACATCCTTAGTCAAATTGACTTTCGGTTTCCTAAAGTCATTCTTCTTTTGGTACTGGCAATCTTTCTTGTAATGTCCGGGTTTGCCACATACATAGCAGTTTCCTTTCTTTTGTTGTTTCTTGAATTTCTGATCATTTTTCACATTCAAGTTCTTTTTGAATTTGGTAGTCTTTTCCTCCACCAGATTGGTTTTGGAAAACTGGTCCTCATCTTTCTTTCTGTTATTTTCTTCAATCTTAATTCGGAACACTACTTGGTCCAAAATAGTGTCCTTCCTCTTGTGTTTCATACTGGTATTGAAATCATTCAGTGTATGTGGCAGTTTCTCTATGAGAGAATCGGAAATGAATTCATCTGACAGTACCATGCCTTCCTTTGCCAGTTCACCGACAAGAACCTGGAACTCATCTATTTGGGTAGACACATCCATGTCTTATTTCATGGTGAAGTGTAGGAAGTTGGCAATGCCATATTTCTTGTTTCCGACATTTTCTAGAGCATACTTAGTGTCCAATGCATTCCAGATTTTAATGGCATAATTGTAGGAAGAATAAACATTGTACAGTTCATTGGACAGACAGTTTAGGATATGGTTGGTGCAGAGGTGGTTGACTGTAGTCCAGTATTCTGCAACAACAGAACGGGCTGGTTCCTCCATGTTTAGTGGGTTTGGTTCGGTTAAGGCAAAAGCTACCCCTAATTGCTCTAAGGCAAACAACAGGCGTTGTCTCCAATGCTTGTAATTGGTTCCATTGAAGGGTTCAATCTTAGAAAAATCGTGTTGACAATATCCGGTTCCTCATGAAGGGGTTAGTAGAAATAGGTTCCATAAAAACGATTTTAAGAATGTTGTAATAACAGTAAAGATAGTAGGTGGAACTTATCGGTAATCGCTTTCCAAACCAAAGTTGCAGTGATGTGAAGTTGTTGCAAGAACTCGAAACTGGAAATTGCAAGAAGATGGAGGGCTGAGTTGTGCCACTTGGTCACTCTCCTTAAAATCGTATTTCCCCCCTATGGTGCAGTCGGGTTATCACAAATCAATCGCCAAGATAAAAAAACCCACAGGCCATTGGTAGGCGTGCACTTGCTTACTAGACCTCCGCAAACCATAGAAGATTGATGCTCCAATTTCTCAGAGAAAACAAGAATGTCGAAAAATGGTGTATGTACTAGGTTGGCCAGCACTCTTCTTATAGAGTGCTCTTAGATCCGAATGGACATAGATGTGTCGTTTCAAACAGGAGACTCTTCAGAATAGTGCACATGTTCGAAATTGAAAAGACTCAATTAAAAAAAAAGGTGTAATTCGGTTAGACCAAAAAGATTCGGTGCATCGCATGCACCCGTGCCCATGACCCGACCCGGCCTGGCTCAGTGCATGCATGTGAAAAGCACCCCCAACTCCCCCTCATATGCATGGAATATCTATAGTCCTCTCCTCCTATAGGTCCCTACCCATAGAGGGAGCAAAACTACAAATGTGCTCCACTCCCACTCCTTTCCCAAGCAATGTGGGACATGGAGTCATTCAAGAGTGGGAAGAGGAAAGGACAAAAGACAAGAGAGGGAGGAGAGAGATTCTTGTAAATTTGAATCTCCCTCCAACAAACACTCTCTGCTCTATTCCACGATTTGTCGCAACTCTCTAAATCTCCATCCTTCGAGTTACACAAAAACATAGACCTTCTCACGACTTTGATGTTGTTGGGGTGAGGAAACGTGAGACGTGAATGCTCTAATTACGTGGCTTTAAAATAATAGAAAAATTCAAAAATTTGTTAAAATGGGAATGGAGATTTTGAAGCAAAATTTGAAAAAGGAGAAAAATGCCACGGTTGAACACACCAGTGCTCATTGTGGGCCTCATTTGGGACCCAGCTGTATTGAACACTGGCGTGTCCAACCATGATTGGTAATTCAGCTGGGTGTGTATGTTTTCGGCTCTAGCTGTAAAGACACAATTTATACTCCCATTTTCATACATACGAAATCAATTGTGCAACGACAGAGAGATTTCCTCTCTACTAGGGGTGTTCACATTAAATGTCAAACTGACTAAATCGGCTCGACTCAACTTGGGATGGTTGGTTTTTCAAAATCATTGGTTGGTTTCAGTTTGTATGAGAAAATAAATCGACAACTCAGATCAGTTTCAGTTTTCTTATATGAAAATTGAAACTAAACCGAACCGAACCGATCCTATATGTTTAAGTAGTTATTAATTAGTCCCTACCCTATATGTTAATTGTTGATATATCTTATTTGTATTTTGTTTTAACTATGAAAAAAATTAGTTATTTATGACAAAAACTAAAAACGTAAAACCAATACAAATATAATACAATGGTACAATATTTAATTCAGTTTTGTATAAATTTAAATATATATTGACAAAAAATTAGTTTTGCATAAAAAACTAATCGATTTAAATATATATTTTGATTTTGCATAAAAACTAAAAAGAAATAAAATTAAATATAAATAGATATTTAGAAATAGACATTTTAGTTTAAAATATATATAAAAACGGACTAAACCGATAAATCGACCCAAACCGACCCTTCATGTTTGGGTCGGTTTTGCTTTAGGGTCAATCGGTTTCGATTTAGTCAATAAGTAAACCGACTAAGTCGGGTCGGTTGAAGAAAATGACTTAAACCGACCCAAGCCGACCCGTGAACACCCCTACTCTCTAGGTTTCCAGAGATTTCCCCTCTCTTTGTTTTGAGAGAGTATCTTTCTCGGGGTTTTCTCGGGTTTCTTCTCATCATCCACTCTCCGTTGTCCTTCTTCCATCATCGATTGATTTTGGGGAGACTCCCATCGGGGAATTACCCCTCTCCCTTGTCTTTTCTTCCCTCTCTTCTCCGCTCTTCTCCCTTTCCCTCACTCCTCTCTCTCCTCCGTTCCATTTCTCATTCTCTCACTTGTTCTTCTCCTTTCTTTTCGTTATTTTTGTAGAGATTTTGGCACAGACGACTGACTCTTCCTTGATGATTTTGGTGTTGGGCGATGGTTGTCATCGCTACTTTGGATTTTACTGTCGATGGCTATTTCTTGACTATATTTCACCAGCATTTACGATTTCGGGTGGTTGTAGTTCTAACAGTTACATTTCCGGGTGGTTATAGTTCCGGGTGATTCATAGTTCTGGCGGTTATAGTTCCAGTGGTTACCATTACGGCGGTTATGGTTCCTGGTGGTTCCAATTTCTTTGTGCCAGTAGCAGTTCCTTGGTGGTTGTTGCTTTTCACTTCTCATGCCTTTTCAGACTCTCTATCTTTACCTTTGCGAGGCGCTACCATCTTTATCCCTCACTTTCAGTGGTTGGAGATGTGCTCAATTGTTTCTTCTCTTGGTGATTTTGCCTCACCTTATGTTGGTTGCAGAAGTTCTTTTTTTTTTCTCCTTTATCTGCTGTGTCTATTTCGTTCTTTCTAAGGAATTGTATTTGCAATTTCTTCCTTGGTATTGTTATTACTTCTCTGTATTCATACAAATTTCTTAGATTGAATGAAATATGACTTTCGCCTTCACAAAAATTATGCTATGACAGTGTAGTAGCGCAAGGCCAAAACCGAGTATTATAACAATATAGTGGGTGTTTGGCACCAATGCCATTTTCCGAGAAAACGGTGTCATGTAGGCACCACATCAGAGAAAGTGGTGCTTCAAACAATATACTCTTATTCGGTATCATTTTTTCAGGAAAAAACATTGCTCCAGACCACACTTGCTTTGGAAATTGGGAAAATGTGATTTGGAACAATGCCAAATGATACATTACTGCCAGTAATACAATGATGTAGCATCAATGTAACATCATCTTGGACATTAGATAATAATATTCACATACCCGGTACTGTTTTACTCAAAAAAAGGTGCGATATTCCCATAACCGATGCCAAACACCTACATATTTATTGCCGTATTCATCTACTTCAAGGTGGGGCTACATCACAGGCTTTGATTTCATTATATATTTTCACTACAAACAAACAAATTACAGAATCGTGGTTTGCATACATTTGCACCACAAACAGAGCCTGTAACTGTAACGAAAAATCCAAGAGACAAATTGAGTTGAGTGGACATTAATTTTTTTTTTTTTTAATTTTAACGCCCTGGTGTTTATTATACTTCTCTGACATGTTGGTAACAAACATGCAACCCAGAGAGAGAAAGAAAGAAGAAACCAAAGAAACACAAATCTGATGCAAGAAATTAAAGCCTGAAATATACTACTTCATAAGCTGTAACTCATCTTATGCAAGATTTTCCTCCTTTTGTAAGGCCATTAGTTTTTTTTCAGTTGCAGCCCAAATTCATGAAAAAATGGCTATTTTAATCGACATTTGAGATATCATGAGAGCTGCCCAGACAATCTCAACATCTTCTTCATCATCATCAGAGTATCAGACCTTGATTTTATGCTCTGGCTTGTGAGTGAACTCAAAATCTACATGCACAAAAGCTCTCTCTACGTCCGGGAGTTGCTCCAGCTTCTCCTGGAGCGTTTCTCCAATGTTATGCGCCTGACTCAGAAGCATGTCCCCAGACAAGACTATGTCTACCTCTACAAAGTAGTGAGACCCAAATGTGTAGGCCCTTACTGTATCGATGTGCTTGATCTCTTCATGGTGGTTCCATATCAGATATGTCAGCTTTGCTAAGTAGTCCGGCGGAGCTGTTCTTCCGATCAATGACCGCACATTCTCCAGAATCGTCCTCGACCATGTGCTCATTGTGTATAAAGCTATCTGCATTTTTATTAGTTTGAATCAGATCATAAAGCTCTCACTCATCCATTATCAGTTAGTTTGAGAAGAGAAACATGAAGAAATATTAAGGCTAAATATATTGCAGAATAATTAGTATCCTGTAACTCAACTTTAAAATATGTTTGAAAACAGTTATCCCTTGGAGTCATCCCTTGGAGCCGGTCAAGAATTCCTTGACCGGACACTACGGGTGGATTCGAGCCGGGCCTAATAAGTCAAAAGTTCGTAACTTCGAGCTCGATTGTGAACCAAATGTTTTGTAAAAATAAAAGAATATACATATAAAAAATTAAAAATTATAAAAATTAGTTATATATACATATATTTATATTTATATGTATGTATGTATATATAATCAAGTTTTTGAACTTGAATAGTTCAAAAAAAACTTGACTCGTGACCACCCCTAGCCAAGTAGGAGGATACTCCATGCTCCTCATCTACTAGTAATGCAAAAGACCAATATTTCATTGGTTCTATAAACATATTTATTTGTTTATGACAGCAAAGGACATTTTAATATAATAATTTTACTTGGACTAAAATGGCAGTTTTGGAGAGTTGAGGTAATGCAATGACATGTTTTATAATTCGATGGGATACTAAATAAAGTGTGACTAACCCAGCGTACTAATCTCGAATTTACCCAAATATTAATTGATATTGAGGTTACGAGCTTACTAGAATGGCTCCAGTAGGATCAATCCACCAGTAGTAACGGACGGCCAGAACTGCTGTTACTAGACCCACTGCGTTGGTGACCACATCGAAGAAATGATCTTGAGCATAAGCTCTGATTATTTCGTTCTGGAACTGACGACAATACACCATCAACACAAATTTTACTACCGTCACAGAAACCATTATTCCAATCATCCACTTTTCCTTCTCGGCGTCCAATTTCAGATGGGACTGTAGAGAGATGAATACGCAAATTAATTAACTGCTAGTTATATATACAAAATAAGAGTGTCAATGGATCTGTTTTGAATTACACCCCGTTTACTTCAAAATCAATTTAGACGGATTGGATGGACCAATAAGAGATATTAGATTGGATCGATTCGGTCTATTATTAGATTGGATTGGACTTAGTCTGTCCGTAATAAATTTATATTGGATTGGGTTGGATTAAGCCAATATCTATATAAGATAAGAAAATAGGTGTCAATGGACCGAGTTTGAGTTGAAACCAATGTAAATCAAAATGAATTTCAATGGATTGAATGGTCCAGGCACTGAATTGGACCGATCCAAAATATTTATTCGATTGGATTGAACCTAGTCCATTTATAATATACTCACATTGGACTGGATCGGATTGAACCAAATCCAATCCAATTGACACCCCTATATACAGATAGATGGTTTTGAGCTTTGAAGTGCAAATGGCATGGTGCTCATCACTGAACTAATGAATAAATAGAAAATAATTGATAAATTACCTCGGCGACCAGTTCCCTAGCAGACTCCAACAATATCTGCAGTCCCAGAGTTGCCATCACTGAAGCGAAAACAATGATGCCCTGCAAATAGAAGTCTATAAATTTGAGTTACTTGAGCATAAGAAAGAAGGGAAAGAGATTTATATATACCAAGTGATTCAAAATTTCTACTTAATTGTTTATCTCTTAATGTTCATATAAATTTTCATTCTTGTTGATAAAAACCCTTCTCTCTCCTTAAATTTATGGTAATGAATATAATATATGCATGGAGCAAGGTTGTTTAATTAGTTGGCCAGACTGGAAATGGGTTATGTGTTTCTGAACTGTTGAACTTGAACCCAACCATGGCCTCCATCAGCTAATTAATAGACAACCATTGGCATTGGTCAAGGCTTGGGCTTAGCCTATGTATTAATTAGGGCATTGTTTGGAATTTTGGGCGTTTTATTCAATAAACGTTGCCACATAGGTGTCAGTGTGTTATTTCAGCATTAAGCCCATCATGCTGATTCATATGTATAAAAACTTATAAAAATAAACTTTGATTTATGTGCATGCCGTTGGGGGATGTTTATTCACTGATTTACTTTCATAATTCCTTTTTCAGTGAATAAACTAAAACTATACCAAACACATAGTAAATGCCCTAAAATTTGAGTTTTGAGTAATGATTTTAATACTTGAAAGTGCATCAAGTTCAATTCAATCCCTTTGGTTTGCACCTGAATTGGGCCATGGGCTGCATTTAATCTGACATGCTTTCAGAGAATCAATCAGATGAAATTTGTGATTCTAACAATCAATTAGCTTTAATTTTGCTGCTGGCCAGAAGTGAACTAGCTAGTTATTTTTTGGGGGGATGAATACCTAATTATCACTCTTTAAATATTGATTCTTTGGAGCAGAAATTAACCAAACATACCCCAACATTCCCATTTCTTTTCCTTATCTTGTGTGAGTAGGTACTGAGTAGGTGGGTGGTGGCAACCATTAATCTCTATTTGATTCACGATTATTAGCTGATAATTTTAATTATAAACACATCACTACAAACTACTAATTTTATATTATTTCAGCAGCCATATATGGAAAAGCGAAAAGTGTAAAGCTAATTAACACAGTAATTTTCAATTATGGGAAGACTGACCACTGGTTGCATCCGTTTCTTGCCAATTGGGTAACGATATTGGTTTGGCTTTCTCATGGCATGATCAGTGAACCAAAGTATAAACCCAGATAACAGATCCATGAGAGAATCCAAAGTTGATGCTATCACCGCCAAGGATCTGCTCTCTATAGAAGCATACACTTTTGCTATAAAAAGCACAATGTTTGCTACGTTTGATGCAAGAACAGCCATCCTCTCGCTCCTCGCAAGCTGCTCCCTCTGATCCTGTAACACAGTTAATGCTCTCTCTCTATATATAAGTGAATCAAGAGAAAGAAATTAAAAGCCATGCATAAACAAACGTCAACGATCAGCCCAAAATCAATCAAACAAACTAGAGATAGATAGAGAACAAACCAACCTCTGTTAGACTTCCAGGCAAACCCAACTCAGTGACGGTTTCCATTTCGTTGAATCCTTTGACAAGATTCTCCTGCCTCTTGTAATACTTTGCAACCTTGCCTTGCTTGCCTGACATATAAAAATACGTGAATTCCCACTAATTTTCAATTCTCAAGCAAATGAAAATGATATTAATCGAGCAAGATGATGGCCGGCCGGCGGCATTGATCTTTACCTAGAGTCTTTAGAATAACTGCAAAACCCAGTTGAGGATCTGTCCGCTGTTCCGGCAGCCGAAACTCTTCGAGGTTGAGTCGCCACGGTGGCTCTATATACACTGTTTCTCCCGCCGGAGTCGGAGACAGAAGCTCGGTTCTGTAGTCGGAAGAGTCGATGCGAAGCCCTGCTGACATCTTCACACCCAAATGTCTCTCAAGAGAGGAGAAGAGCTATAGCTAGCCAGAGTCTATTTATAAAAGAAAAGAAAAGAAACCCATGAACCGCTGTCTAGTCTTGAGTGGCTTTCACAGATTACCTAACCAAGGGAGAAAGCTTGCAACATGCATGTCATGGTTAACGTAAGAAATCCACTAATTATAGATAAACGTAAGAAACCAATGAAAGAATTCTATACTACTTCTCATTATCACCAACATCAGAAAAGAGATTTAGGGGTTTGTTGATATGGGTGATGGGTCCCACTTAGATCAGGATAAGTAATTTAAAACAATGGTAATATAAAATATGATGATGTCATCATGAACAACGATACATTGAGAGGGGCCATTATGTGGGGGATTGATTTGTACTGATAATCAAGACCCACCATTCATTCAATGGGTCCCATGCCAAAATCAGCTTAATTATTAACATTTAACTTGTTATGTGTTGTTGGTGGGTCCTGATTTGCAGTTGTCACTTGGTAAATTACCACTGTAGGGGTGTCAATTGGACTGGATTTGGTCCAATGGATCCGGTATAATGGGAGTCCATTACTAATGGATAATGCCCAATTCAATCCAGGGAATATTTTAGAATGTTTTAGACCGAATTTAATTCAATATTTTGGATCGTTTAATTTGTCTAAATTTGTTTTAATTTAGATGGATTCTAATCCAAACCTGATCTATTGATCCCTATATTTTTATCTTTTATGAATGGATCGGATATTGATTCGCTCCAACCCAATCTAATATAAATTCATCACAATATGGACCGGGTTCAATTCAATCTAATAAATACTAAATCTAAACTAATATAATTCAATATGCCTTGTTGATCAATCTAATACGTTTAAATTAATTTTGATTTGAATGAAGTCCAATCCAAAATCGGTCCATTGACACCTTTTTAGTTACCAGGGTCCCAGGCTGATGAAAATGAATCCTGATGGACTCTTTAAAAGCTCTGAAATGAATCATGATGAATCAGATGGTCTCAGAAACATCTTTGGTGTGGTCTATGTGTCAATTAGTTGTGGCCCATCTAGTATTGGGGGTCCTGAACATTAATCACTTGGGTAAGTTAGGGAGGGCCCCAGGCTGAGAATGAATCATGATGAACCCATTGAAAGATCTGAAAACGAATCATGATGAATCAGATGGTGCTAGGGACATCTTCTGTTGGATCCTGCACATTTGTCACTTGATAAGTTACGAGGGTCCCAGGTTGAAAATGAATCATGATGTGTTCTTTGAATCAAATGGTCTCAGAGGCATCTGCTGATTTCTATGTTGGTGTAGTTTCTGTATTAATTAGTTCGATTTGTCCATCTAACTTTGGGTAACATTTGCCACTATATAGGTAAGTTATAAGGGAGGGTCCCAGGTTGAAAATGAATCATGATGAACTCTTTGAAAGCTCTGAAATGAATCATGATGTTTCAGATGGATGGTCTCAGAAGCATCCGTTGATCTATTTCTAATTTGTTGTAGAATGTGTCAATTAGTTGTGGCCCATCTAATATTGGATCGTGAACATTCATCTCTTGGTAAGCTAGGGAGGGTCCCAGCAGGCTGAGAATGAATCATGATCAACGCTTTGAAAGCTCTGAAGTGGAATCATGATGAATCAGATGGTCTTAGATATATGCTGATCTATTTCTAATTTGGTGTGAATTAGTTGTGACTTGATGATGCGCGATCTGACAGTTCGCTACTGGAAGGCAGTTTGGAGGTCGGGCTGATGAGGTCGCTTGGTTGAGCTGCAAGAAAACACTATCAGAGTGTGGTTTATTTACTTGGGGTGGGTACTTTGAGGCTTAAGTCAACGAATTGGAAATTTTTGAGATAGCTAAAAGTGAGAGATCTAGAGAGTTGTGAATACTAAATTGCGCATACCTTTTCTAAGGAAGGGGATGCCTTTATATAGGCAAGCTGTCGTGAGGCTTACGAAGTGCATCCAAGATCTCTAGCCTGTTTATTTCGGAGGTGGTTTCACGCCTAGAGGTGGACTCCGCGTAAGTGGATAGTGCCTATCCAGTCGTGCTCGAAGTGGGTAGGGTGATAATCGGCTCTTCTGACGTGGCGTCGTTATCCCATGGAAGTCGGAGACGATAGCTCGCTTAAGAAGGAGGTCGCTCAGCACATCAAGCAGGTTGCCAACTACGTCTCAGTTAGGTTGGTAGGGTCTCAGGGGAGGTTGCCCCTAATGCCGAGGTCCCTAGCTCGGTTGTGATGAGGTCGCCACCTGAGTCTTCATCAGGTCGGTGAAGCCTCTTCTGCCGATCAAGCCTTGCTAAGATCTTATGATGTCAAGTCGGTGGAGGTAGATCGCTAGCTGAGTCTCCGTCAAGTCGACAGAGGTAGGTTACCAATTGGGTCTTTGTCAAGTCAGTTGGGGTAGGTTGACGGAGGTGTAGGCAGGTCAATCACCACATCATGTAGGTTGCTACCTGGACCTCAGTTTGGTCGGTGAGACCTCAACAGGAGGTCTCCCTTCGTGCCGATGTCTTAAGCTTGGTTCTAAGGTGGCCGCCCCGATCTGGATGATTTGTCTATAGGTCGGCCATGGCGAGGTGGTGACGAAGCTCCCACAGGGTGTGTGGGACACATCTAACGTGATTCCAAGTAGGTCTCCGTCATTTTGGCTAAGGCAAGTCATCGCCTATGTGGTGATGGGGTGTCATGTGATGATTCTGGGATTTCCATATGGCGCGCTGCCACTAGAGGGCCAAATCCGCCCTCATCAATTGCCTCCCACTCCCGAGTTGAGGTCAACTTGGCGAAGGGAGCAGTTCATTGTACATCTCTAGCCCAAAGTAATAGTTCAGCTTTTTCTTTTCTTTTTTTTTTTTGCGCTAACCCAATTTAATCTGCTCGCTTGAGCTAGAAGAGTCTAAATGTAGCATTAGGCAGAACATTGCCATCTTGACCACCAAGTGCAGGAGTGAACTCATCAACACAAGGAGGGGCACAATGGCACTTCGAGGACATCTGCCAAGCTAGGGCTGTAGCCTTTGAGGAGTTCCGTCATTTGCCCGAGTACCTCAATAGTGGAGTTCTCTGTGCCTCACTCTCAAGAAAGGCTTCAAACTGTGCCATGCTTCCTTAGGTCGCTTCACTCACAAACTACAATGCAGTGTCCCTCAAGCCAATCCTCGAGTGGGTGGCCGACAAGGTCGATGCGAAAATGGAGGATAGCAGAGAGGGCAACAAGGGTGCTATCGACGACGACAAGGATGATGTTGCATGTTTGAGTGAGATGAGGTGTGCTAAGCACATGTCAGTCATCTATTGCCATCGTGTTTCGAAAAGGTTGGCTTGAGGAAGCCTTAATGCTAAACACGGTTTGGCTTCCCAGTCATAGATTTTCGCTGAAGTGCGTGTATCACAAATTGAATCATCCAGGTCAATAAAGCGAGTCTCAGTCATTTTGTATTGGCTTTTCTACTCAATGTACATTCCATCACTCGATTTTAGATGGATGTTTGAAATCAGAATTACACTCATCCCATGAGCTGATTAGTCATCCTGTGGTGCGGGTGCATTTAAAGAATCTGGAAGCCGGGCATGAACCACAACCGCATCTATGCCATCGCGGTGGGGCGACCTTCCTAGGTGTGTGTTCGCAAGTCAATGCCGCATTTACGAGTCGCCGACTCTCACGGAAACCATGAAAGTTTTCACTTGCGAGGCTAGCTCCATAGTCAGTTGGCTGCCAACTCTCACGAGAGCCATGAAGGGATCAATCTATAGTGCAATTTTGCAGTTAGGGCCGAGAGACTATTTGGGCCAGATCGCTGAAGCTTGCATGGGCTGGTCCTTCAAAATCTGCCCCCCTTGTGATAACATCATCAATATTTGTGTTGCTATTAACGTTGTTAACATTGTTGCTATTAGCGTCAGACGCATGGCTGGCGCCACGATTGCACTACATTAGCTCTTGGAGATGCTAGTTGTCTACTCCTACGAGAGTCACATGGGGTTTCAACCAGTGGGGGCAGCTCTACTATCTATAGGTTGCCAACTCGCAAAGGAGCCTCGAAAGGCTTGACCCACAAGGGCAAAATCACCGTTTGTTTTCCGCCAACTCCCACGGGAGCCGCAAAGGGCTTGACCTGTAGAGAAAACCTCGCGACCAGGGCTAACGAGGCTCATCCGAGCTGATTATTTTTGGTTGATATCACTGAGTTTGCGAATTCAAAATAAGGATTAAGAACTGGCTTTTAAGTAGCAGTTCCCACAGACGATGCCAATTGATGATGCGCAATCTGGCAACTCCCTACTAGAGGGCAGCTCGGAGGTCGGGCTGATGAGGTCGCCAAGTCAAGCTATAAGAAAACAATATCAGAGTGTCTGGGTTGCTTTACCCAGGGTGGGCACTCCGATGCTTAAGTCAACGAACTAGAGATTTTTGAGAAAGCTAAAAAGCGAGAGAGCTAGAGAGCTATGAATGCTAAATCGCGCATACCTTTTTTAAGGAAGGGGATGTCACTTTATATAAGCAAGCTACTGTGAGACTCACGAAGCGCGTCCCAGATCTCCGGCCTGTCTAGTTCGGAGGTGGTTTCACGCCTAGAGGTGGACTCCACGTAAGCAGGTAGTGCTTATCTAGTCACTCCCGAAGTGGGCGGGGTGGTAACCGGCTCTTCTGATGTAGCGTTGTGATCCTGGGGAAGTCGGAGACGATAGCCCGCTTGAGGAGGTTGCTCAGCACGTCGGGCAGTTCGTCAATTGTGTCTCATTAGGTTGGCAGGGTCTCGGGGAAGGTCGCCCCTAATGCTGAGGTCCCTAGCTCGGCCGTGATGTGGTTGCCACCTGAGTCTTCGTCAGGTCGGCGAAGGTAGGTCGCCTCTTCTGCCGACCAAGCCCTGTCGAGATCTTACACCGTCAGATCACTAGAGGTAGATCGCTAGCTGAGTCTCTGTTAGGTCGGCGGAGGTAGATCACCAGCTGGGTCTCTGTCAAGTCAGTAGAGGTGTAGGCA